GTGAAAGTGAAAAATATTGATGTTGTCAAACACATATGTATAATTACTTTTTGTGCCCCCCTTAACTTTCAATCACCTCTATTGACTCTGTGATAGTAGTGTTGTGTTATTATTTACTGATGTCTCTTTTTCAAATATCACCTTAAACCTTTATTTCCATAGTTTTGAGTCCGACCCTGCTCGGTTCTTGTGTCTACGACCATCTTGCCAGCGACGCGTGCTGGTTGTTGTGTTTGGTCTCACTTGAAATTCAAGTATAGTGCCTATTCGGACGGAAAAACAAAAAAAGCTGGTATAGCTAGGCTAGAGAATTACCAAAAAAAAAACTAATTGCTTTATGTGATCATCATGTGAGAAATTCTATCCCTGTATTTTCTCAAAGCAACTATCCTTGCGATTTCTTTTGGGGACCTATTCAGTGCGTTTCTCATGTCGGGTGTAATAAAAGTGATGAAACACAATTTTTCAAGAAAGTCAAGGTCAAGTCTGCCCTAGCTTTGAACAACCAGTTCAATGGTGATCTTGGATTTGACCTTGAGCATCATCTTTAAGATTATTTCTTCGCCATATTGAACGCGCCCTTTTTGAACCTTCAATCAAAATCTTAGATCAAGATCCCCTCTAAAGGTCGTATATGTGAGGCTAGGGAACATTTCTGGAAGTTTAATTGGTTTATCAATGAAAAAAGCTGATGACAAGTCTTTAGTAACTTTGAAGTACTGCAATAGTGACCTTGATTCAACTTTGAACCTCTCTTTAAATGCCATGTCACGGTCAACTCTTGTTGTTACCTGGGAATTCCCTCTTTGACTCCGACAACAAAAAGTTCTAGTTTGAGGCTGAAGGTCAAATTCGAGGTCAATGGAGTTTTTTTTAAGTTACTAAAAGCCTGACCTTTAATGTTTCATCAATGATCCTGCTGAACCTTCTCAAGATATTTTCCCAGCCTCACATATTTGACCTTCATCTAAACTTTAGAGCTCAAGCTTAGAATTCAGTATATATTTGAGCGTATAATTTTCTATTCTTTCGATGGCCGGTGTCGAAATGGAGGCTTCTTATTTAGGAAAACAAAAACTGAACTGGAAATAATCTCAAGGCAAAATCTAAGGCCACCATTGAACACTTTATTGGAGGTTAGTATAGAATTGATTTTTGACCTTTTTAAAAAATACCTTATTTAGGAAAATACAAAGTTATTCCATTACTTCTGTTACACCCGGTAAATGCAAAGATCAAGTATTCCGGAAAACCCTTATTTACCTTGTTATCGTGACATAATTCGTAACCATCAGGTTTGCATTCATGCGATCTGACGATGAACTGAAGTCGATTCTGCTCCAGGAATTTCTTCGTCACATCTGGTCCAAAGTATGTCCCGGCCCCTCTTAAGCTGTTTGGAACACAACCCTTCGTGGTCTGAGGATCAGACCACAGGATATCGAACACCTGAAATGAAAATCATGTTATTTGCACTAATTTGCATTGTGGTACATATTTGTCCGTATCGCAACGGTTCAAATGATTTTTATAACATTTCGACTTGAAAAAGGCAAAGAAGCCAAACAAACGAAGAAAAAAGGAGCTTGACATAAATACGAGGTGGTCCCAGAAGTACCCGACCCAACGAAGAAAACACAATTTTTTTGTAAAAAAATGTATTTATTTTTCAACATAATCTTCTCACTTTTCCCAGCGATGTTCAATAAGTTCGATACCCTTTTTATAATAAGAACTGTCTTGCTCCTCAAAATAGCCATTAACTGCCGTCATCACTTCTTCATCGTTGGAAAATCCTTGACCACTGAGCCATTTTTTCAAGTTTGGAAACAGAAAATAATTCGAAAGGGCTAAATCTGGTGAATAGGGTGCATGAGGTAGCAATTCAAACTTTAATTCGTTAATTTTGGCCATTGCAATAACGGATTTGTGAGCTGATGCATTGTCTTGATGAAACAACACTTTATTCTTAACCAAAGGCGGTAGTTTTTGCTTGATTTCAGCGCTCAAACGTTGCAATAAGTTCGCATAATACTCGCCGTTGATGGTTTTACCTTTTTCAAGATAGTCAATGAAAATTATCCCACGCGCATCCCAAAAAACCGACGCCATAACGGTCTTCGCCTTCTTTGGAGCCGGTTGCCCCTTTTGAGTCCATTGTTTTGATTGTTCTTTTGTGTCGGGTGTGAAGTGATGGACCCATGTTTCATCCATGGTTATGAAATGACGCAAAAAGTATGCTTTGTTGCTGTGAAACTTCGCTAAACACTCAATTGAAACATCTTCACGACACTGTTTTTTGCTCGATTGTGAGCAATCGCGGCACCCATCTTGCACACAGCTTTCTCTTGTCCAAATGTTCAGATAATATGCGATGAACCGCACTTTTTGAAATGCCTACTATGTCTGCTAGCTCGCGCACCTTCAGTCGACGATCATTCAGTACCGCTTTGTGAATTTTCTTCACCATTTCTGGAGTGGTCAGCCCATTTGGTCGAACACTGCGATACTCGTCTTGCTACCCAATATTTTACTGCTGTAAACGGAGGAGCAGACTCACCCATAGTAGAATCCAGTTCAGCTTTTATATTGGTTGGGCTGAGGCCTTTGAAATAAAAGTATTGTACCACATAACGATGACCAATTTTCTCAATTTTCACAAATTCACTGAAAACGTTCAGTATTGATGGCTGCCAAACAAATACTAAACAACTTCACACATGTGCTTTATAGGTTGCATGCTTTCTAATACAATAATATTTTTCAAACAACTATCGCCATCTCCGGGTACTTCTGGGACCACCCTCGTAGTCATAATGGAAGGAATATCATCCTATCCTAAGAAGGAGGTCTTCTGTAGCAAATAATAAATATTCCAAAACACCGATTTAACAGTTTTAAACACGCTGTTGAATTTGCTCCGACAATTGGCTTCGTATTCATGATTAAACAATAAGGCAGTAGTAATATGTCCATCCGACCACGGACAGCTGTTTTCTGCTATTTGGCAGCTCTTCAGCATGGTGCAGGCTTGGTCTCTATAGGCTACAGACGAAAGTTGAGCACTCCCGGGTGCAATAATAAGATATTCAAAGCATCAACATTGTAAAAAAATCCTCAAAACTTTCATATTGAATAACTGGATTTTTTTGGTATAGTACATTCTTGTGTAAGCAGTGCTGACTTGATATACTAATATGGCAATCTGTGAGGGCACCTTTAAGAACTTTAAAGTATAACATATTCCATGGTCAAACATATTATTTAATCATGTTGTTATTTCCATTATTTTCCATTTAGTGTATATTTGTCTCAAGTGGTGCTTGAGGCTTGAGTACAGACTTCAAAAGTAATGCATTACGAGATCGAGTATTGCCTAACCATGTTTTCTGTAAAAACGAAGTGTTCGCTAATCTCAAGTATCTTGCGAAAATAAAAAAGAACAATGACTATTTTTGGATATTACGTGAAACCACTAAAAAATTGAGATAAGTACCTGTACAAAAATCTGATTGATTATTAAAAAAATGTCGCAAATGCCCGTCTTGAAAATCGCGGAGACCAAAATCGCTTGTTGTTTGCTTACTCAAAAATGAAAGGTTATTGAAAACAATGGAAAATAAGTTACTAAGTATGAAATTTAAAAATATAAAAAAGAATCTGGTATGTAAAATTTCAGAACTCTTGGTCATTGTGAAAATATTTAATTATACAAAAAGACAATCAGTATGTTATTTTATAGCAGGCCAAAATTGCATCTGTGATTTACTTCTCGTCGTTTCGTCAAGTGGTAGCAGTCTTTTAGTCATTTTTGACGTTTTAGACTTACGTAACTGGTTCCAGTCCGTTTGAGGACTAGACAGGGGGCTATAATTATAATGATTTCTGTAACCGGCAGACATAGGACGCTAAAAGAGATTTAGACTGGGCAAAGGTCCCACGGACCGCCCAGACAAACAAATGACGAATAGAGATTTAGATAATTTTAACGTGAGTCAAAATTAGTTTGTCAGCTGAGAAAAAAATATTAAACAGAAGGACGTGAAAAGAACTATGTCGCTAATTACTGATAAAAAGTATAATATGTTTAAAGTCATAGTAGATTTTATGGCCACCAATCTGGGCCGGTTTAAAGGATTATTCGACCTTAGTGAGATTGTAGATATTGATATGGTAAAAAAAATATTTGTTAATATCACACTGCTGTAGCATATGCAAAAAAAATCACATTCATTGCATAAAATACAATGCTAAAAGCATTCAAGTATAAAAACGAAAAGAATAATAATACAATTTGAGGGAATACAGAGAAGCACTGAACAAACGTGAAACACTAATTTTTCAGCATGTGCAAATAAGGTAGAGTGTTCACATACAGTTTGAAAAGCTTTTCATAGATGACACAATTAGAAGTTAACTACTGTCAGCAAGACAAATGAGCCTTAGAACAACCGCTTAGGATCATGAAGCGGCAAACATCTTGGAGGTTCATGATCACTTTAGAATGTTGCCAAATTGTGGGGACTAGAACCTTCAAGATCTTGTTAAAAATAAACGGATAGTTGCATAATTCCGGAAGGCTATAATTTATTTATTTTTGACTCAACTTCTAGCTCCACTTCTAGTCTTTTTTCCGTAACAACCCTGCACGAGCTCGAAATAGTGAACATAGGTTCATGATCTCAGCATAATATATCAGCCTGCACATTGCATAACAATCTGATACAGGAATGGCCGATATCATGTAACAAGAATACTAACAGACAGACGGACATGCTGTAAAATAAGTGTTTATGGTTTATTGTGATGCATTACACGCACACTAAGTGAAAGTCTTTAAACTTCTGGAAAGTCAGATAACTCAATCGGAAGTGTTTTGTTATTCGATGAAGAACGTGACATGATGTGATTTAAGTTTATGGGTACGCACTCTGTGTAAATAAAAATTGGAAATTCTTTATCACCTACTTGAAGATCATTTTATCTGCAAATCAGTGACGCCGTCGATTTTTGAGATGCGCATAGATTAGCACCCATCCAGAGTTGGTATAAAGTGATCATATAAAACATCGTACTTAAATCAAATATCGGCAGTAATACAAAATCAACAAAAATGGCAGCCATGAAAGTTTTACTGTTTGTAACTGTTGTTGTATCAGGTAGGTTCAGTTTTTTTGAATATGCTTCAGATAGTCTGAATGATGAAGTCATAGAAATATTTTTCATGAAATAACACAGACATTCTAGAAGTTGCAGTTAAAGCTAAGCGTATCACCTTCTTCCTAAACGTAATTATGTACGTAAGCGTATGAATGTTTATTAGTTATCCTTAATCTAAATATACAACTGAAAAAAATGAGAGTATCGGAAACGATAAATGATGACAAAAATGTTCTTGCAATTATCATTATTCTCCTTTTTTCAGCAATTGCTTACACTCAGGCTGTCAAGTGCTATGCCTGTGACTCCAAAGTTGGTGGTAAAACATGTAGCAAAGCACAATCAGAAGATTCCAACGTCATAGACTGCAGCAGGTGGACTCCACTTACTGGACAGGAGTACGCTTGTGTCAGATATGAATATAAAATAGGTAATATTTCACTTTGAAGCCAATAAAAACTTGTTGTTATCTCTATAGACGCGTATTATGAATTACTATTTCTCGACAAAGAACAAAGTTTGTCTCGTTTATGACTTCGCCGGAAGTGATTTTATACATGGTTGAAAATATTTTCACTCAGTGGACATTAGAATCATATTGAGTAAATTATGTTGTCAGCTTTAATTAATATTTTCATTTAGACATTTTTAGAAAAAATGTAGACCAACGTTTTTCAATTATTTGTTGGTCTTGTCATAACCATTCATCATCATAGTTCACAAAAAGTTAACTCATGTTGTATGGAAGGTTCCCATGTCTATCCTACTTAATATTTCTCCCTCCATGGTTTAAGGGATGTGTAAGTACTTTTTATGATAGTCAATTTATATGTTTCAGGTAAGGAGACGAACACCCTTAGGTCCTGCGTCGAGAAGAGCAAATCTTGTTTGAGAATGGAGCAAGAGAGCCAGTTCCCTCTGAAGAACTGTAAAGTCTGCGATAAAGACAAATGTAACGGACACTAAATTATGGGAACCTAATAAAACTACTTTTTGAATAAACATAATGCATTATTTGTTGATTTACACTTGCTTGACTGACTCTACAACGAAAGTATGCTATAATCAAGAAGGCTAATGTGTTGAAGAGCAATGATATATATAAAAATACGTCAGTTGCTTTTGATAAGAACCCCAAACAGATTGAGTTGTATCGCAACTTAAAGGGCAGCCTTAATGAAAGAATCTCCTAAGGTGAAAGAAACCTCAGAAGTAAATATTTCAAGGGGGTGCCTAAGATTGTTACTTTAAACGCATAGCTGAACCCAAATTTTCATACTACGGTGCTGCTACCAGAATGTTCGTGGTTTACTCTAGACAGTGTCATTCTACAATGCAGTCAGTGACTTGGTTTGTTTGAGTGAAACATGGCTGTCTGCAAATGTCGGTGATAGTGAATTGTTTCCATCTGAATATTATGTATTTAGATGCGACCGTGACTTTTCTAGATCTGGCTTAGCCTCCGGCGGGAGCGTCCTGATTTCGGTTAAGCGCAACTTCAAGGTAGTTAGAATTGACACTAGTGCTTTGAGCCGTAATTTTCCTTCAATTGATACTGTTTGCATCAAGTTAATCATTAATCACGAATATTTTGTTATTGATTCTATTGTTATACTCCTCCTTCAATTCTTTCTGACATGTTTGGTCAGTACCTTGAAGCGGTTGAAGTATTCAACAATGCTTTCGGTTACTGTAAAGTGATTATCTCTGGCGACTTTAATGTCGCGTCGTTTAGTAGTGATATCAATGATCAGAAGTCACAATTAATAAGATGCTTCATCTCGTTTCATGACTTAATTAACTTCGATAATGTTTTGAACGTAAACGGTCGAATATTGGATCTGATTTTAGGAAATCTTGACATAGAAGTTATCAGGGATAGTTCACCGTTAGTTATAGAGGATGTCCATCATCCTGCGCTGATATTTGAGTTCAATACATCCGGGTCTCAAAGAAAATTCTCATTTGCAAATTCTACACGGTACAATTTTCGTAAGGCTAGATACCATGAAATGTACAGAGCCTTCCTGGATGTTAATTGTACTCAGGTGATCAACGCAGACCGTGTGGGCGACACTTGTGTTGCCTTATATTCTGTAATTAATAACATATTTGAGGTCCAAGCAAACGTTCTAGGTTCCAAAAAAACACGTTATATCAATGAGTTTATTTGTGGAAGGCTTTGGAATACGACCAATACCCATTTTGTCAAAAAAAAAGATAGAACCACCCCTCCGTTGTGTAGTCTCTGGTACCTACGACCTCGCTGTGATATTGAATTTTTCAAATTGTGAAATGCTTAAGTTACTTATTTTTTTTTTGTAAATGTAGCCTGTCAAAAGAAAGTTGATACCAAACATATTCAAAATGATGAACCTCATCAGCAACCATATCAATATGTATAATGTGCCTTCTGTTTCGATGCGGAGTTTTTTTGTCATTCCACCTGGAATACGTTAATCAATGTTTAAACCCATATCCATGTAACGTGCTTCGAATTATACCAATACCATTAAAGTGATCCAAAGGGAGGAGATCCGATTTGGAGTTCGTACTCTACCTTTTAAATCGTCTCCCTTTAGGCGTTACGTATGAATAAAAAATAAATTTGCCACGTATCAATGTTCTTCTACAGTTTTCCTGGAAGCGGTTCAGTATAAAACGTGGCAAAACAGGTCATAACACATAGTACTATCAGACTTAAGTGAATGTTATCTGCACATGAAGCCAACATTCGAAAGACAGATAAGCTCAACACTGTGAAAAATGTATGAATGTATCTCTTTAACAGAAGTAAATCAAACAGCCAAAATTTATCATAAAATCTTCTAATTTAATAGCACATAACCACTGGAATAGTCCTGGCTTGAAGATTGTTTCTCAGCCAAGTTACTTTCCTATATTCAATCGACCTTGTTTTGTTTGTGTAGGATCTTTTCCATACATGTAAATAGTGAGTTCTTGGCAAAAGTACTATACGAGCCCCTTCCCACTTCAGTTGGCCCAACTATTGAAATCTTAGTTTTTTTCTTATCAAACACAAATAATAAAAATGTAGCAGGGTCTTGTAGGTTTAAAATATTTACAATGAATATTTTGATAATATATAGTAGAAAACACCAACTTTATCACTCCCTAATCAAATTTGCAGCATAAGAATAACACATGTTGCAATTACAGCATATCAACCTATTTTCATTTCAATGCAAAATAAGTCTATAACGCTTAGGTGGCTGTGAAAAATAAAAGCCATGACAATTTTTTTTATTAATCACAGCTGTCAGAATACGTTTAAAATAGTTTTGGGTAGTTAAGGTTTTCAAAATGGGTAGAGGAAAGGTTATTAGTGAGAAAATTCGGTTACTGATAATTAAATTTTTTAATTCTGGGAAAAAGAACTCAGAAATTGCAACTTTGTTAGACTTATCGCGGTACAGTGTGAGAAATATTGTTAGAAGTTATAACGTAACTGATTCAGTTAATATTAAGCCACGATATGAGAAATAAAGTAATATGACAAATGCCGACCGAAGAGCAGTAAGAAGAGTAATCGTGAAAAACAGGCATGCCAATTATTTACAATTAAGTGCTCTGTGGAGTGACGCTGTTGGAAGGAGAATTTCGAGGTCCACAACTCATAGAGAGGCCCACAAACTGGGATTTAGCACTTGCAGGGTAAGTTTTCTTATAAAAAAAAAGTGAAGTAAAAACCCTAAAGTTGCACAACTTGTTTATAGGCCAAAGAAAAGCCACTATTAACTCCACTGCAAAAGAAAAATCGGCTTAGATGGGCTAAAGCACTTAGACAATGGACACCTCAACAATGGTGTGCAATACAATGGAGTGATGAGGCCCGATTCGAAGTTTGTGTTGGTGACAGTCGCAGTAGAGTTATTCGCAAAAAAAATGAAGCATTCCATGTTGACTGTCTGAAGAGAAAAGTGAAATTTCCAGCATCCATTATGGTCTGAGGCAGTATGTCATCAAAAGCAGTAGGAAAGCTTCATTTTATTGATGGAAATGTGGATACAAACAAATATTTGGCAATTTCAGAAGAATCGCTTTTATCAGTGATGGAAGAATGTTTGACATCCGGCCTAGATTTTGTGTTTCAGCAAGATAGTGCAGCATGCCATACCTCAAAAAAGGCTATAAAATGGATGGAAGAAAATAATGTACCACTTTTGAAATGGCTTTCTGGCAGTCCAGATCTGTCACCTATTGAAACTTTGTGGCACGTGGTGAGAAAAGGTTCTACGTGAACATCCTGCTCGTACAATCACCGAACTGAGACAAAAGCTTGGGATTGTTTTACGAAAAATGTTTGCCAAAACTTGGTTAACACTATATCCCAAAGAATTTCAGCGGTAATAAAAAATTAAGGTGATGTTACCCAATGGTAATCTTTCAATTGTTGCTTTGTTAACTTCGCGCATTTATTCGCACATTTTTTATTTGTTCAGATGTTCTATTAGTTATAGGTGATAAGTGATTTCAAATAAGTATTTTTTACGACTAGAGTGTATTTAAAATGTTTTTGAGAAAATAAATTGTTTTAGAAGTAAATAGTTTCGTCATGTTTGGTTTATAGAGGAATATTTTGGTACAAATCTTGAAGTGGGCCAACTGAAGTGGGAAGGGGCTCGTAGTCCGATTTTTGGCACGTAAAAATACGCAATTTTCCAGGCAAACAGTCATAATGTTGTTGACCTAACTAAAAGGAACGCACAAGAATGTAGTGCTATTAAAAAAGCATACTCAATTTTTAAAACGACTCAAATTAGCAAGGTGAAATTAGGACTGATTGATCTAAGAATACTATATTTTAACGCAAAAGTAATAGCTAAAACATTCAATATGTCGGATAGGGGCCATATTGGAACTTTTTTTTAAAAGGATTATGGTGACACCAAATACCACACATTGATGCTCCTTGCTAGTGCTTTATAACCCTAAGGTATAATTTACTATGTTCCAAAATGGAGGACAGTCAGGTTATGCAATTTGGGCGTTATTGTACATTTAATCGCATATAACTTAAAAACCAATTATCAAAACGCTATGTTATAATAATGTTCTACTTTTGGAAGCGTCTATCCGAATTTATAACAAAATATGTTATTGTATATTCAGATAGATGTTTCCAGAAGTAGAAGATTGATATAACATACTATAATTGTTTGATGATTAGGTAGTGAATTATGAAACAAGGAGAATCCAGATGAAGTATCACATGACCCCTCGTTCAATTTGAAATATGATACAAGATGGTGTCCAACCGACATCTTCAAATTTCCTGCTATTAGATTTACCATAAAATATATTATTGATATATCTACTGCAACTGGCATCTTGCTAACCTGGCCCGTTCAGAAAATAAATAAGGGGAACGTTTTTGAAAGGCACTGTGTTCTGTGGACTGTATTAGCCAACTTTTGATTTCCTACAAAAAAGAAACGTGTAAAGTGAAAAACGTGCTTTTTCCGATTACTGTCAATTTTTAGGCAATGTAAGGGACAATGGAAACGAAGTATAAGCGCCACCTGCCTATAAAAAATCATGGTTACGTAGGAGCTAGCAAAGTAGCATCGCAATTTTATCCAAATTTGTCAAGCAAAATTGCGCCCGTGACAAATTCATTTCGAAAAAAAACATGGTTCTAATACACAGAGAATCGATCTGAAAATGATTTTACCAAGTATAACTTATATTGAAATAATCTAAATCTGGATACCTTCGGGTGCAATTTTCATATGTATAGCCTTGTGTGTACAGTATACAGGGTGTTTCAGTTTATTGTTGCATAACTTTAAGATCCGATAGAACTTTTAAAATTGATGCATAAAGTCTATATAAAAATGGGTCGAAAAATGCGTGGCATCCGAAATACAGGGTGTTTAAATTTACTTTCTAAAATAGTTTTTTTTTAAATATTTCGAACAATATTTGATGTATAACAGTGAAAATTGGTATACAGGGTTTTTTGGTACGACAAAACGAACCATGGGCTTAGTTTTACTGTAGCCGCTAGAGGGCGCTCTCTACTGGACCTGTAGTGTATTAAAATGACTGAAAATATTTTCTTAGTGAATTTTTTTGCTTTTTGAATAAAAGGACTGATTCTTCGCACTTTTCAACATAAAAAACTCTCTTGTGAATTTTCGTTATAGTTAGCTGTTTTTGAGATATTTCGATTTTTAAGGTTCGATGCATTTTTAATTATTTATGATAAAATAACGTTAAAAAGTCAGTATCTCGATAATTTTTAGAAGTAGGCTGTGCCTGCAAATATTTTTGAAATTGAAAGCAGAATAAGGTTAAACGTCAATTAGTTGACAGTTAGTTTTGTTGTCTGTTGAAACCTGAAACATTTTTTTGCAATTGTGAATGCACGAAATTTAGTTTCTTTTACCTGTCTTTTTGTAAGTTTTATAAAAATGCTATTTTTATTCTCCAATCAAGAGTTAGCGGATATTCATTTTGTGTATGACTTTGTAAATGGAAACGCAGCAGAAGCAGCCAGAGAATACGCACGAAGATTTCCAAACAGACGACATCCAACTCGCTCAGTATTTGTAGGAGTGCATCGCCAAATAATTGAAAATGGTTTTGGAAATCTCCAAAGGGATCAAAACATAAATGTTCGTCAGCGCAGATTTACCCGTATGATTCTGCGTGAGTTTGATAGAGATCCGATTTGGAGTTAGGAATTATTGCTGTGCTTAAAAACACAATCTAAACGATCATCTTAACTACTTGTAATGCCCAAATCGAAAATGTAAAAAAAAAATATTATTTTCCCATAAATAATTATAAATGCATCAAACCTTAAAAATCGAAATATCTCAAAAACGGCTAACTATAACGAAAACTCACAGGAGAGTTTTTTTATGTTGAAAAGTGCGAAGAATCATTTTTTTATTCAAAAAGCAAAAAATTGCACAAAGAAAAACATTTCGGTCATTTTAATACACTACAGGTACAGTAGAGAGCGCCCTCTGGCGGCTACAGTAAAACTATGCCCATGGTTCGTTTTGTCGTACCAAAAAACCTTTGTATACCAATTTTCACTGTTATACATCAAATATTGTCCGAAATATTTAAAAAAACTATTTTAGAAAGTAAATTTAAACACCCTGTAGTTCGGAAGCCACGCAATTTTCGACCCATGTTTATATAGACTTTATGCATTAATTTTAAAGGTTCTATCGAATCTTAAAGTTATGCAACAATAAACTGAAACACCCTGTGTATAACCCTGCAAACCCGAATCATGCAGAAATTGTCGGCTATCTCACAGAAGGTTTCATCGCACGCTACCAAAATTTGATTTTTTTTTTGGATATTTCAGAGGTTTTGAAAGTTATTAAGACTTCCAAACTTCGTGAGTTCTCAGTTTATAAAATTTTCCAATAGCAGTTAGCTCTCAACGGTCGACCATATTTGAGCGCCTTAATTATTCTGTCTTATCCTCTTCAATAAAGAATGCTTAGTCAAGATAACAAAGTGTCGTTGTAATCTGTTTCCTTATCAAGTACTTGTAGATGATGATGTTTTAGCTTCTAAAAATGGCGGACCATTTTCACGCAAGTTTTGTATAAATTCATGCATTCGTGAACTCTCATCAGTCTCGAAGTGAACAAGTCTACAAAGGAAAAATATGGCATTCAAAGCTCTTCTTTTCGTAGCGGTGGCGGTTGCAGGTAACGTATAAATATTTTGCATTATTTCAGCACACTTATGAATACAAATTTGCAAAATTACGGACAAAAAACGAAAAAGTGGAGATTTTTTAAATATCAAATGGCTCTCACACTTTTCAGGAACATTTGTAGAAGTGTTGAACAGATATTTTATAATTTTGTCGGTAATCACACGCATCTGTTCAAATAACATTTCACACATATTTTCCACACATTTGCTTTTAGGTTAATAGTCTGAGACCTCAATTTTACGATACATTGCGTTTAAGGTAAAGTTTTAATTTAATTTGGGTCTTTTGTCTTTCCTTGTGATACAGATAGATACTCAATCTATTTGATTTAAGAAGTCATAGTTTGTCCGGAGACAATATTATCATCAATTAAATTCGTCCTGTTAAAAATAATAGTTCATTTAACCTAAGATTTGAATATACAGTGGATTTCAAAAACCACTTTATTCATATATTATTATAACGGATCACGTTAGCAAGCTGAAATTGGGATTGATGAAAATGATGCGTGGATAGTATATTCGAGCGTGAAATTTTCAACTGTTACTTTTACGTTAAAACCTAGTATTCGTGAATCAATTTCAGCTCGCTAACTTGCCTCGTTCTAAAAATAAGTTGAGGCGTTTTGAGACGAACTGTACTCAGTAAATGATTGCGACACCTTTCTTCCTTTCATGCCCTCAATTTTGTCTACAATACCTTTGGAATGGTTTGGAATATTCTTTCACCCTATATGAGTAATGTCTTTACTTTTTTTTTCAGCTTTCGCTTACACCAGCGCGACTGAATGCTACCTCTGCAACTCTCAAATCGTCCCAGGGTGTGCTAAGGAACAAGGAAAAAGGTCCAACTCCTTTGACTGTGCTTCACAGACACCACTTACTGGTTTGAAATACAATTGTCTGAAAACAGTATACGAAATTGGTAAGTAAAACTACATACTTCTGAAGAATACGAATTTTATTAAAAAATTTGTTTATACAGGTTGTTTCAGTTTATTGTTGATTAACTTTAAGATTCGATAGAACTTTTAAAATTAATGCATAAAGTCTATATAAACATGGGTCGAAAAATGCATGGCTTCTGAAATACAGGATGTTTAAATTTACTTTCTAAAATAGTTTTTTTTAAATATTTCGAACAATATTTGATGTATAACAGTGAAAATTGGTATACAAGGGTTCTTGGTACGACAAAACGAACCATGGGCATGGTTTTACTGTAGGCGCTAGAGGGCGCCCTCTACTGTACCTGTAGTGTATTAAAATGACCGAAAATTTTTTCTTAGTGCAATTTTTTGCTTTTTGAATAAAAAACTGATTCTTCGCACTTTTCTGCATAAAAAAGCTCTCCTGTGAGTTTTCGTTATAGTTAGCCGTTTTTGAGGTATTTCGATTTTTAAGGTTCGATGCATTATTATAACTATAACAAAAATTCACAAGAGAGCTTTTTTATGTTGATAAGTGCGAAGAATCAGTTTTTTATTCAAAAAGCAAAAAAATGCACTAAGAAAAATTTTTCGGTCATTTTAATACACTACAGGAACAGTAGAGAGCGCCCTCTAGTGGCTACAGTAAAACTATGTCCATGGTTCGTTTTGTCGTACCAAAAAACCCTTGTATACCAATTATTATACATCAAATATTGTACGAAATATTAAAAAAAAACTATTTTAAAAAGTAAATTTAGATTTCGGAAGCCACGCATTTTTCGACCCATGTTTATACAGACTTTATGCAATAATTTTAAAAGTTCTATCGAATCTTAAAGTTATGCAACAATAAACTGAAACATCCTGTATACAAAATCTAAGGTATCTTTCCCAAAGGAATATATTTCAGCTTTTTCCGCAAATCAAGGGTTAGGTAGGTGGAATAGTAGTTGGTCAACCAGTGAGAGAAATGTGAGGTGATACCAAAAGTATCAGGCTAAAATAAATATGAGCTTATACATGATGTTCCTTAATGGCATGCTAATAACAAAGGAGGTGACTTTAAGAAAAAAAAATCATATGAAAGTATGTCCCAAACGTCTACTCGTTGGTGGTACAGGGTGGTAAAGTTTTCAGAAAAAAAATCTGTGATACTATTGTAAATATCTATATATGAGGTACCAAAAAAAAACGGAATTATTTTTTAAAAGCTATTTATTTTCAACTTTTTCACAAAGTAACCTTATCTCTTTCAAAATGCTGTCCACTACAACTAATACACTTGTCCCACCCTTGTTTTTTTCTTGACCTCTTCAATGTCGATACATGTGTGCGCAGGTGCATTATCGTGGTGGAAGATGCAGTCTCCTGACTGTCACATATCGGGTCATTTTTGCGGAACACTGTTTCGCAATCGTCTGCAAGCACAAGCTCTCGTTCTTTTTCAACATTTTCGTCGATTCGGGCAGTTGATGGACGTCTAGAACGAGGTTTGTCATCAATCGACATGTCGCCATTTTTAAATCGATCAAACCACTCGTATACCTGAGTTTTTCCCATAGCATCATCTTTGTAAGCTATTTTCAACGTTAAAGCAGTTTCAGCAGCATTTTTACCAATTAGAAAGCAAAATTTCACATCTGCACGTTGCTCACTGAAGCAAAAATAATGACTACAGAGGAACGAAACAAGAAGCAAAATTTCACATCTGCACGTTGCTCACTGAAGCAAAAATAATGACTACAGAGGAACGAAACAAGCTAGATCGACAACTCAGGTGGCACTGAACTGGTAATGAGTTGCGCTGTACGCCTCTAGGGGCAGAAATGCGTACTACACAAGCTCCGCCCTCTGCAATGCTATTGCGGTTATTTTTGGTTACCTCCTAGTATACCTGCGCACACAATTTTATTTTTTCTACCAGTGGCGGACTTATGGGGTTTGCATTGAATATTTTTGGAGAAGAAATGGGACGCCACGGCTGTTTCTTTAGATAAAAACCATTTTTGCTTAAAAAAATAAAAATTGTGTTACTTCAGGGTCAAATTGCTAAAAGCCTGAAGCGTCAAAAATGAATGACAGATCAAAAAATGCACCTCAATACATAGCAGATATGTAACAAATTTCAGAAAAATATTTACAATGATATCACAGTTATCATAAAATACAGATTTTTTCTAAAAGCCCTGTATCTCAAACGTTAAGAGGTTAGGACATACGTTTATATTAATTTTTTTTTCTCAAAAGAAACACCTCCTTGAATAGTGGCATATCATTAAGGAAAATACTGTAAATTTGAAGCAGAGGTGGTAAAATATAAAAGTTACTTGGCATAATATGGCTTTTCGTTTAAAAAACCACCCAGCTTTGGTAAGAATATACTATAGAAAAATCCGCTATAATAAAATAGTTATTTATTATTCAAGAGAAAAAGTACTAGATTTTAGCTAGAGGTTGTATTAAACCTAAAGCTAAAAGCTAGTGTTTTTTACATTTTTTTTCTGTGACGGGAAAAACGACGATTTAATATTGAAAAACTATATTATTACATTATTTAAGTCAGAAAATTATCGATGTGAAATTTGAATTTTGAAATTAGTAGGCTATGTTGTACTTATAGTGACGATTAATAGCCGTCAATTTAATTTTGTGATTTGATTTAAAAATTGTGAACTTATTGATTATTTAGAAGCTATTTTAATACTATAAAGTAAAAAATGCCTGGTTCCGAGTTTTCTTTGACTTAACCGGAATTAGTAGAAGTAGCCCCAAGTAGCGCCATAACAATTATTGCCAGCTAAATCGTTAATCAATATCCATTTATTTACTGGGGAAAAAGCTAATTTCATAAAAAGTGACATTTTGTTACCTGTCCACATAAAATGTCAAACTTTTTTACCGTCACAGAAAAAATATAATAATTGCTTTAAATCAAATCGACACAGTACTTGAGGGTTTGTATATAAATATTTTTAATCCATTCTGATGTAACTGAGATGCTTATGGATGTTTATGAGAATCTAGAAATCTAGTCATTTAGAGAGCCACAGATTTAACTTTACCATCTCAGTACTTAACAACCGCAACGTAGAGGTTCCTGAATTTTAAAATCATTAATATCTATCTTGTAAAGGCTATAGGCGAAACTACTTATGGAGGTATTTAAATCGGGATAAATCCAAATTGCTGGATCAAGTCATCTCAGCCAAATTTTCAGATCGATTAGTCGCCCCTATGGGTCCTTAACCTCAGAAAAGTGGTTTACCGAAAATATTTTTTTACTGACCAAAGTTATCCTTAACAATGTAGTGACGGTAATTTATGTAAACTTATTTTGAACAAAATTCTGCCAGCAGAAAATTATTTCCGAAAAAACATGTTTTTGAGGTTAGAGACCCCATCATACCCAACATACCTTAATTTGGATAGATCATACTTTCGACACGTTTGGGGGCAATTTTATATGTAGTTTCGAGTACAACCTTTATAAGGTACCTTGTTTGATAAAAGACATTAATGTTATTCAGTTGTGTAGAAGGTTATATAATAGGCTTTTGGTTTACTGACGAAATGGTTTTGATGTATCATCAAGCTCCAGTTAGTCATCATTAGTTACACTATTTATCTTGTTCCAGGTGGATACGAACATGTACAAAGAAACTGCATCGAAAAGAACGTAACGTGCGGAACACTTAGGAAACAGTTCAAGGCACAAGGTGTCGATTTGAAGGAATGTCTAGTGTGTGGCAAAAAACTTTGCAACGGACAGTAGACATCTGTATAATCTGTAATTATTGTAGGGATGTTAGTTCAATAAATCGTACAAAGTTTTAGCGACAAGGTCGTCTGAATAACGTTTTCCCTTTCATTTTACCGCCATAATCTATTCATTTTTGATCGTTGATGCTATATGCTCTTAGTAACTACGCAATTATTAAGTTAACATACAATGTTGCGCAATATTGCATAAGATAACAACTTCTCGCTAATCAGATGCTTGCCTCGTGTCTCTATTTCTCTATGATGTTTGTCCGTTGTTCATTATGAGGTGTGTACTTTCTGCTGACTTTTAGTCAGCATCTCAAATTGTATCGGGCTTTCCAATAGGGATAACTTTGAACTTTCACTGTGAGCGCACCTTTAAATCAATTACCAAACCGTCAATGTCAAAACATTCGGTAAGGAAAACATTTTCATCATGGTGAAGTACACGAACGAACAACGCTTACAAATAATTGAAATTTACTACCGAAATTCCGAGTCCGTGACTGCAACTTTAAGAGCATTTGTGCCAATTTTTTGTCGTAATTCTCGTCCCAGTTGACAAGCAATTCAGAGTCTAGTAAAAGAAATTGAGTCCACATATTCGCTGCTGGATGTTCCCGTACCAGTGAGATAACGGGATGTTTGAGGTGCCGAGAATATTGCTGCTGTCCAAGCTTCCGTCGCAAACGAACAGAACACGTCGATTCCTCGGCGTTCTCAAGAATCAAGTTAACACCTTAAGGGCCAATTTCATCAAAAACATTAATTAATATTTGACGGTCAGTTGGACCAATAGGAAAAAACCGCATCGAAATGCAATTTGACGGAAGCTGTCAAAGCTCTCTGAATATCAGTGAATTCTATTGAAATGTTGAATAGAGTCGTGGAAAAACGGTTGTCTTATAAATAAGGGTACATTCTGGATGTAATATTATGTCTTTGTGCGTTGGAATTAGGATAACTTTCATAGAATTTCAAATTTTTATCATTTCAGAAAAGACGGTCAGTTATTTAAATGGACCAATGAAAATGAGAGAAATAATAGCTCGATTTTCTAGCTATTATATTTGTTAGGATGTTTTTACTGTTTTTGACGACTGTTCATGCATGGCAATCTAGTTTTGTCTGTACATCACGTACAGGGTGTTGTACATAATACGTACCTGTAGAAATGGACAGATTTTTGTTATTTTGCAAAAAAAGGATATAAAACGTATTCCAACTGGTTCATCATCTTTTGTTAAATCAAAAACAATTTTTGCCAATTTATGATCTAGAAATCCACACCAAATGTAAACATGCAGCACAGCACATTCTGCATTTCTGGGACCTAAAACATTGATATTTCTCGAAAGTATCCGCATCCGCCTATTATTCATCGTCTAGATATTATACGTCAGAATCAAAAATACCTATTTATGAAAATATATCTCCAAACATTGATATATTTTCTTGTTATTTATATTAATAAAAAAAACGGAATCGGTAAATCGTTCCGTTGAATTCGGTGTAAGGTAAATGCCGTCTCAAGATCAGTGGTAGATCAAGGACCTTTGAGTCACGAAATACGGCTGTTATTGTATTGGGCGCGCACACAACATGTGTTTTGAGGGCATAGTTCTATATTACAACTTCTATAATGTGCATATTGGTCGCTCTTTCAAAGTACCTTGCAAACCATTCTGAAAACTCCTTTTTCGATTCTTGCTTATTTGATTGTGAATATTTTTCAGTTTTCCCCTGAACTCATCAACTCACCTATCATTTTAATTAAATATTTATTTTGTAAACAGACAGGTTTCGTTTTCTTTATTGCTTGTCCGGTGATGAGGTAATGACGGTAATCTATACGTCCGTACCTTTTGTTTGCACAACAATCAATTCAGGGCAAGCGGAGTAAGGGATGGGGATGTGCGTTCGTAATCATAGGCAACCCAAATCTACGCCTCTCATGTGCCCGACTGCCTGAGTCTGTATGCATATGTATGATTGATATGGGGCATAAAACTACAAAGTGCTTTCTTTTTGGTTTCAACTCTTTTTCGGCAAGTATAGAAATGTTTAAATTATTTTTAAAAATCGTGGAGAATGATGTGATTTAAAATATGTACCGAAAAATGCGGTTCAAGTCCATGCATAGGCAATCTGAAATTTGTAATATGAATTTATATTCTAAATTCTATGCATATCCGTTCATATTCGTCAATATTTCATTTGAAGCTTTTATTTGTCATACTATCTTAGCAAAATGTAAGATTAAAGTAAAGGCAACACTGCTCCCTGCAGTCCAGTTGACAAGAACGACAAGCTGTCAAGATTAAGGATGTTTGGATCCACGAAAATTATCGTTATGTATCGATTCTCATCGTTTTAGGAAGTATCGGTACTCTAAAATATTGGAATAAAATTATTGATATCCAGCGGAAGGAAACAAAGAAGAAAAGTAATCTGAGGTTAGTCACTCTTTCTGACACAGTCCGGATCGAAAGATGACGATACTCGTGAAGAAATGTGTCGATATATCCAAGTGTCGTATATAAAAATATCGATAGAAAATATCGGGTATGGGAAGCAAAAGTATCGATACTTCTGAATATAGGAACGTATCGAACATCCCTACTGTCAAGATGAATAACCCGAGGTACCGACGGAGCTCTTTTGGGGCGTCATGGAAATAATTTTAAATTTTCATTTGCATTTTTTCAAATGTTGTGCGACGATTCTGGGAAAAATTCCACGTATAGTCTTACAGCTTACTCCACTGGGACCACGGGTTGACGGATCCCACACATGTGCCACTCGTTGGGGAGTTTTGAAATGTAATAATCAGCTGTTATTCAAATAATGTCTAATATAAGTATAACCTAGAATGTGTTCTCAGTGAAACAAGAAAGTTATTGAAAATTCAATTTTTTTTTGCAGGTTCTAAGTTTGTCGGTAGTTTTACGACATATATTTGAGTATTTCTATTAAGCGATTACGCTGTCAATATAGTGTGGATGTTTGTTCAGTTCCTGAACAACCAAACAATATTTGACTTTATGGATGTATGGATGTCAAAAATCTTGAATGGTTTTGTGTGAATATCAATCAATGGTGCTATAATGGTACTGATGAACGGCAAGTAAGTGAATGAATGTTTGGAGACGAGCATTGTCTATGAAATTTTTGGTAGAGCCTGTCATCAAGTAGGTGCTTAATGGCTATCTGTCAGGTTTATAGGAAAAGAACACACGGTAGGTGATGTTGAATCAGTAAAATCGCATATCAATTGAAGCAAATAATACAAACATGAATAAACAAGCGACAATATTCAATAAAAACATTTATTCAAAAATCGAACACTGTTTTAACTTTTGGCTAAAGTATATAATCAAATCCAAGCGAATAACCAAAATTTCTGTGTTATGTGCCGCGGTTATAATATGGTTCAAGATGACACACGGGTTGATGACGTCAGTTACACGAATCGCTTGAACGCTTTGGTTTTAACCGCGGTTTTGTTGCAAGTTGTTTATTTTAGAAAAGCGCGTATATAATGTCTGATTATTTTTATTATCACTTAATAATCGGTGCTTTTTTGTCTACAACTGTATATGGAAAGTTTAAATAAGAAACCTTTCATAATATTCATGGGAGAAATGTTTTTTTCAGATTTTTTTTTTAATGATGGAACCATGGCTTTGTAGCTATGATAACTTTCAATTCTCTAAATTTTTCCGCATGTCAAAGAAAACATTTATTGATTCAGCAGAAATGATGAAAAAAGAAATTAGCAAAACCGTATACAGGTGGATATCATCTAGTGAGTTTATATGGCCATATTTTAATATTATTGTGGTATATGGCTACACAGGATACTTCGTTAATGAGTATAACTAATAAGGTGCTCCACTTTATGGTAAAACTGAAGTCAGCCTGTATCATTTTTCTCAAAAATGAAGCTGAAGTACCATAACAATATCCAATACCCGGCAAAATTCTAACTTGTCACATTTCAAATAATAACCAGAAATATAAAACTACTCTTGAGTTGGGTAAATACCACAATTTTGCGGTGATAACTATGACATATAACAGCTGATTCGTGACGTTACGGATCTTATAACCAAACTGATAACTACACTCGCTTGAACGGATTGGTAAATACCAACCTAAAATGGTAAATACCATTTCCATTTGGTTATCCGCTTGAATTTGATTTATGTGATTTCTTAATATTCAATAAGCTGGTGATGTTTCAATGACAAGCTGTCATCTCATACTATGACAGTATTTTGTTTTCAAATTTCATAGCTCTTGGTTGCTAAAATTTGTTCATTGGAACTTGAAGCTTATTCGTTGTATTTAACGAACTGTTACCCTATAGGTGGAGAATAACGGACTGTTGATTTGACAATCCTGGTGAAATCCACCCTTAGACTCTTTTTTGTGGGGCTACATTAAATCATTGGTCCATGCCAACAAGACGGCGTCATTAGAGGAATTCAGAGCCAATATTGAACGAGAGACAGCGGTGGTTTCTGTCAAAATGTGTGGCGGTGTAATTGAAAATTGCGTTCAACGAATCGATGCTGCGAACGTGCCCCTGGTGGACATATGAACAAGGTCGAATTCCATGTATAAATGTTTTTTGAATATACTTCAATCCCATAATAAAATTTTCGAGATATCTCAAATGATTTGCGTTTTATTTAAAAAGAAAGTTGTCAAGTCCTTAATGGAATATCCTATATGAATAGTCTGCTGGCATTAGAATTGTGTTAAATACCGGGTTAGACTCCGTGATAGTCATTTGTAAACATTGTAATTTGTAACTAATGGTCTGTACGTACAGACCCAAACAAAGTTTAATAAAAAGTCTTCTCCAAAGTTATTGATTTAAGATTGTTATGAACGATCCTTTCTTCAGTGACATTTAGGGGTCCAATGACATTGTACCAATCAACTGAAGTCGATGCTACATATTGAAAAGAAATAACCCATTTGTTATTAGTACCTAATGTGTTTGTACAACATATATATTTTTAAATGGTTTTATGAAGAAGTGCAGAGTATCCATATAAGCCATTCACTTAAGTAGCTCTGCAAAATATTTGTCTTCGTTTATAGTTTCGTAAACTTTTCCACCATACTGTTTTACGCAGATTTTGAAACGTCATTTTTCGATTGAAGAAAAGTCGCTGGAATACGACAAACCAGCATATATGTGCCTGATAGATTTGAAGAAAGCGTTTGATAGAGTGAGAATTCGGGACGCGATACATTTATTATATGACAGGGGAATACCATAACTATTGAAAATATATATAAAGATAACATAGCTATGATAAGATGTAAAGGAAAACTCTCGCAACCTATCAAGTATGAAACTGGCATTAGACACGGAGATTCGCTGAGCCCACTAATATTTAATCTGATAATCGATGAAATCATAAAGAAACTTAAAAAAAGAAGAGGATATAGAATGGGAGAAAAGGCAATGCAGATAATATACAAAGGTTAATTAAAGAATTCGAAGATACAAGATGGTGATTTCAACACAGAAAACTAAATCGATAGTAATATCAGCGGAACCGAGACGATCTAAACTGGTCTTAAATAACAAAATAATAGAACAAGTGATGGAAACGGAATACTTGGGAATCAAACTGTCAAGCTATGGAAAAGTGGAAGAAGAAGTACAAAAACAAGTGAACATGGCGAACAGAGCAGCAGGATGTCTCAACAATACAATCTGGAGAAACAAATACCTCGCAACGGAAACGAAAACTAGGATATACAAATCAACAATAAGACCGATAATGACGTACACAGCGGAAACAAGAGCAGACACGGCGAAAATACAAAGTTTATTGGAAACAGCAGAGATGTAAGTCTTACGAAAAATAACAAACCAAACTCTAAGAGACAGAGTAAGAAGTGAGGAAATACGAGCGAGATGTGGTATAGAGGAAATAAACCTGTGGACCAAAAGAAGAAAAATAGAATGGAATCAACACATAGAAAGAATGACAGAAAATAGAACAGTACCAATAGCAAGAGACAAATCGCCAAATGGAAGAAGATCAATGGGACGATCGAGGAAAAGATGGTCAGACAACATCAATTGAGGCTAAAAACCGAAGTAAAACAGGCATGAGCCTATTAATAAAGTAGGAAGAAGAAGAAGAAGATTTTTCGATTAAATTCGATTTATTGGAAGTTCTATATTACTTTCTTTCTAGAAAATACAGGCAGACCAATGAAGAAAAAATACTTCTTATAGTAATTTTCTCACTTGTGTAATGGAAATAACCAACTTGCTGATTAAATAAAAACTTATCGATAAAACATGTGATATGGCTTATCTTCATATCTTTGTACTTCAGTACAAAGTGATCTAATGCTAAAATGATATACTCATCGAGTAAGCTGCTGTATTAGTGGTTTTGAACAGGCATTTGGAGACGTAGTATTAACCATGGAGTATCCCAGAATTTGGTTGATTCTGTCCATAGGTATCTCAGGTAAGTTCACGAAAAACAATTTAGACAGGATTGCAGTTGCGCATAATTGGAAATCTCGAAATGTATTCAGTGGACAAAAGTCACCACACTAACAGCGATGTCATGATCTTGTCAATACATACCATAAAGACAAATAAACTATGTACAACTTCTTTTGGGAAAGGGATGATTATGTGATCGTCTCGTGTCGTCGTTTGTTATTTGGAGCTCTCGTCTGGCAGAAAAAAGGAGAAAAAGTACGAATAGAATCAATTAATAAGAATGAAAGTTATTTGATTTGTACCCCGAAAGGTGCGTAAGTTGGTTAGAGTATTTCCAATATACAGTGGACCTCCGGTAATCCGACAAACATTATGCAGATCAGTGTCGGACTATCGAATTTGTCGGATTATAGAGCACTGCCTAAGACCCCCTATAGCCCGGAATTTTTTACAAAAGGGTACCTTGTAATCCGACAAATTACATATCCAATGGTAAGATTATATATGTTTTGTAAATGTATGTACTTTGAAGTACAAGTCATACATAGTTTATGTATGTCGAATTTAGTAAATTAAATAACAATAGAGAGCTTACGTTTTATTATAAAATTAAGCATAAATGCACATACATAATTATGTACCAAAATAATCAAGAATTATTAATCAAAATCATTAATGAATTTATCAAACTATGCAGCTTGGAAATATTCATCAATTTTTGTTTGTTTAAGGTTGTTATAACGCGAGATCACAGCTTTGTCCCTCAGTCTTCTCAAAAGTAAAAGTTCGTTGGTTCGTTGTAAGATGGATGATTCTCTTCAGCCCATTGTAAACCTAGCTCAAAGGCGTTAATTGCGTCTTATGATGTGACTTGTGGAGCAGTTGCAATCACGTCGTCGTTATTTTCCTGATTGTTTGTTGTATAATTAGAAACCTCTTTTATAATCTCTTCGTCAGACTTTTCATGAAAAACATTTTCCTCTTCATCCATTCCACGGTACCAGATTTCCAAATCTTCCGGACTTATCTGTGTTTCAGTAGCGACTTGTTCTATAACTTCCGAAGTAACACTGATTTGTGGAACGTTGCTAGGAGTAGTGACTATATCTGGCCATAACTGTTTCCAAGACGACTTAATAGTTGATAACGGTAACGCATTCCACGACTGACAAAGAGCAAAAACCAAGTCTTTCATACTAAAATCTTTTAAAGTTTTTTCTATTGGTTGGTCTTTTGATACGGCTCTCAGAAGTAGGTTTTTCTTATAGGCTTGCTTGACAAACTGAATAATATTCTGGTCTATTGGTTGAATCAGTGTAGTGCAATTTGGCGGAAGAAACATCGCAGTGATGCATTTATCCTCAGTTGTTAGTTCTGCTTTAGACGGATGAACGGGAGCGTTATCAAGAAGCAACAACGCTTTTTGAGGAAAATTATGATCTTTTAACCATTTTCTAACTTCAGGTACGAAGCATTCATCAAACCACTTTCTGAAAAGGTCTTTTGTCATCCATGCACTTTTTTGTCCGTAATAGTGTACACGTAAATCAATGTTTTTGAATACCCGTGGTTTATTAGATTTCCCAATGACCATCATCTTAAGCGCGTGTGTGGCCGCAGCGTTAGCACATGGTAGTATGGTTACACGCTCTTTACTTACTTTTTGTCCAGGTACGGATTTTTCGTTACAAGAAACGAAAGTCACACGCCAAAAAACCCCTGATTCGTCTGTATTGTACATCCGTGACGGGTTAAGATTTAAATCGTTCACCTTTTGCAAAAATCTTAACTTAAAGGGCTCTATGTAGGTGGCATCGTTAGAAAGTTTCTCTCCTGTAATAGTCATTAAACGTATGCCATGACGACTTTTAAAACGTTCTAGCCATCCTTTGCTGGCCACAAAATCATCTTTTTTTTGTTATTTCCTTATAAAAAAATTTAGCTTTCATGGCCAACATGGGTGCATGCCTATTTCTTTCCTGACGATACCTCAAGCTTCTTCCACTTCTGGATGTTCAGCTTTCTTGAGTGTCTGTCTCCTGCCTGGCCCGTAGTCAGTAGTTGACACGAACTTCTTGATCTTCTCGTGGTTTCTTTTAATGTCATAAATTGTAGATCGGCCTACGCCGTATTCACTTGCTAAACTACTGAAAGTTTCATTGCCATTTAAGCGGTCTAAAATACCACATTTTTATTTAATTGTCAATGTTTTGTGCTTTGGCCTCTCAGTTTGTGATGACAATACTAGGTACTATACTGAATACACAGTGAATAAATAGTAAACAATGAACGCACGCTAGGCCGTACCGCTATCACCAGTAGTCAAATTCAAACTAAGTGAAACAATGCTTACGCGTCGAGCACGATAGCGGTGGAGCGTGCAAGTTGTAACCTGTTCAAACTTGCGTGATCTACATTAGCGAAGATTGTCAAATACATGTATGTAATGCATATTCAAAGACGTGTCGGATTACAGGGGGCGCCGGATTAGGCAGGAGCCGGATTATCGGGGGTCCACTGTATTTGTAATTTAGAGAGCTAGGGGTTTTTCATGTTTAGGTACTTGTGCTGGAGTACAGACCTGCGGCACGCAACAAAGGGTTACTATAGGAGCTTGCGCTGTTATAACGCTTCCTAACCAGCAACTTGATCGGCTCAAAGATCGTAGGTATTTGCAGATCTCTGAGAATAGCGTCGATGGAGATGTACTGTGGGGCACATACTATAGTGCGATTAATTGTGTTTTGCATGACTTGCTTACTAAGCACGCGATACTTGGCGGCAAAGCACCAAGCGGTACATGCATAGGTTAAAGTAGGACGGATAATCGTAGTATACAGGTGAATTTTATTTACGAGTTTTAATTTTGAATTTCGGTTCAGTAGCGGATACAAGTGCAATGCATTTTTTGCTGAATTTTGTATGTGAGCTTTCTAAATCATAGTTTTATCTAATATGACAACAACTATTTCGCATTTGTTCCCCATGGCACAGGAACATCATTAACAGAGATCTGCTCTGGGGCAGACTGCCTTTTCCTGGCGTCAGTCATTTTGATGCGCCACTGAGGGCCCACTCACATACTTCATCCACGACATCCTGAAATCTCTCACTCACTCGATCAGGCGAGTGTGAAGAGACTACCAGAGCCGTGTCATTCACATAAAGAAGTACCTCGCAGTAAATGGGACAAGGGATATCTTGAGTATATAAAGAATAATAGCCCTACTGAGCTGGGCCGTGGCAAATTCTTGTCCCGGAAGTTGTTGTATCCAGTATACAACTTCTTCCCGTTTAAGTGATTGTACACGCGTTAAGGAATACCTCAGTACCTATTGCCGGGTGGCGGTACAAGTTCGCCAACGGGCCACTTAAGGTCTATTTAATATCACTAACACGTAAAAAGAAGGTGGTAGACAAGGAGCAGTCGACCGAGGCGGTACCACCCGCTAGCTTTTCCCAGGGTATCTTATAAATGTCCGCATGTTTCCATACCTAAGCTATGCAGTCGGTTATCTTCCAAAACAAAGAAATTAATGATGATGGATCCCTCGAGCACTAAGAACTCCGGACGTAAACTCACTCCACTCTCGGAATGTCCGGGTGGAGGGTGGGCTCGAGGGAACAAAATCGAAGATAAAATTTGTTTTTCGAACATCTGCGGGATTAACAGCAACATTGATGCTGTTCATCACTACCTGCAATCGTCCCGCCGTGCTTTTCTTGGCGGAGACACCGACTAACCATATTAACTTCCCAAACTACGAGGTGCACTCCAATCTGAGAAAGAACGGGGGAGTTGTGGCTTTTGTCCGTAGCAGTCTTTCCAGCTCCAGAGATGATTCTTTGGAATCAGACCGAAAGGACATTCTGTGGCTTCGCCTTAACTCCAAAACATCACCCAAATTTATCTGCTGCCTTTATCGCTCTCCCTCGGACCATAACTAGGATAAGCTATTCGAATACCTCGCCGTCCAGATCGACATCAATCACCCCGCTTCACAGGAAGTTATTCTCGGTGATTTCAATGCCCACAATGAGTTTTGGTTGGGCTCAAACAAGACCGATGCAGCAGGTCGTGAAGTCGAAGCGTTCGCTCTTACTTAAGGGCTAACCCAGCTGGTGACGAGCCCTACTTTTTCCCCCCGCATCTCGTCACACGCCAGTAGCCTGCTGGATCTCTTTCTGATCACGCATGCCTGTCCCTTACAGCACATTTGTCCTGTCCCCCCTGGGTAACTCAGACCACGGTGTTGTGGAGGTTAGGTTTCGGTCAGATCCCGCTGTGGCAGCAGAAACTCGTACAGGCCGCAAAACTTGGCATTATGGACATGCCGACTGGGAGGGGCTCAGAGACCTCTTCTCTAGCTTTCCCTGGAGAGATGTATGTTTCACTGACGCGGAGGAATACATCCCTCAAACAGTGACAGTGTCTAAACCAGGGTCCAACGGCTGGTTTAACAAATCGTGTGACACTGCACGCCAGCAGAAGATCAAGGCACACAGAACCTTCTTACAAAGCCCCACTGTAGAGAACTGACAAGCCGACATCTAGTCCAGAAACGAAGCGGCTCGATCAGCTGTGGCACGCTGCCCTCTTAAGCAAACTTCCATCCTATGGCCTCCCAGAAAAGCTTTGCAGATGGGAGGTTGACATTATCTCTGGCCGCAAGAGATCCGTCGTAATTGACGGGTTGTCCTCTTCATACCGCAACGTCAACGCGGATGTTCCCCAGGGATCGGTCTTGGCTCCGACACTGTTTCTCTTACATATCAACGACCTCCTTTTCTGCACGATCAACCCAATCTACAGCTTCGATGATGACAGTACTCTACATGCAGGAATTCCGAGCAACAAGCCGATCTCTGCCGCTGAGCTGGAAAAAAGAAGACGACGACTTCTTCTCTGACAAGAGACCTGTAGGCTATCACTGCTTGGGGACGCAATAATCTTGTACAGTTCAATGCTTCCAAAATACAGTACTGTACTTTGACGCCGTCGGCGACCTAGCTCTTTTC